GAGTATAATTTAAGAACAGTGAATTGCACAATAATAATCTATATATCAAAATGAAGCTTATAATAAGGGGAATATAGATATACACATTCTAGTAACTGAATAGTTATACCATAAGAATATATAGACAATATTATTCCACTAATAGTTCTCAGAATTTAATATTCGCTAGGATATAACAATTATAATGTGCTTTGATAGCTAATGATTTCAATTTTTGTTCAATATAAATTAAAAGGAAAAGAAAAATTTTATTTTATCAAATAAAAATGTTGAATAACACTTATTATTCAATGAATGAACTCATCTGATTGAAACAACCCTAATACTGATAAAAGACCTGTGGTGTTATATGAATACAAATAATTTATGATTACTTTAGTTCATTTTATGAACCTTTTTACTGAGATTTCATAAATGAACTGTACAAAACCATAAGTGAATGCAAAAGAATACTCGTCTTAATTTGAACTTAACTGTAAACTTGCACACTTTATATTTCCATGATTATTTATCACCAGAATTGTATGATTTTGATAATCTTGTTAAGAGATATTTTGTTGTGTTTTTTTATGGAGTAATGACACACAACTTTATGTGTCAGTTACATCTTGTTTCTAATTCCTTTCTTTTTATTCTTTTGTTTTGAATTACATCTATCCATTGATGTAAATATATTCAACGAAAATATCATGTTTATGGTCAGTTTGAATACAAAGAAACTTAAAAATACACTCATTTAACATACATGGTAATATTGTCTAAAGTGATAAGAAAACAATAAGTTATGTAAATATATTTAAGAGAGTCTTGTAAAACTAATGAACAATGAAGACTGTATTATAAATTATGTTACTTTGTATATTATTACTGTAGAACTAATCCGTATCCAAGTAAATTATACACGCATATAGTTTAATAACATATTAGAATCAAATATGTATAATTCCATTTTTCGTTAGGTAAACAGAAATTAACAGACATAAAAATGTTTCGAATGTATCGGCAATAAATTTAATCATGAATTGAAAATTATAAAAAATATAATTCATAAACAGCATAACAGAAGATTAACAGTCAGAATCAACTAAAGGAAATAAAGTATAACTTGATGATATTACCCATTTTGAAGAAGAGATTTTTATGAAGTTAACTTTCATCATAAATTGATACTCAATAGAGAGGCTCTAAATAACAGAATACATTAGATAATTATTTCATCATCAAATGTATTCATTTCATGTAGAATTTAACCAAGGATATTTATATACTGTAAACATAGATTACTAAAATTACTAAATCGAAATTCAATAGTTTATACTTCTGATTTCAATCAATTTAGTAATATATGTTTAATTAATAAAAAATTTCAAACTTTACCAATTATAGGTTCTTAACTAAATCATTTTAACCTCATATGAATTCCTGCTTCCTGTATCCTATTTATTGATTTTTATATTTAAATAATAAATAAAATAAGTCATAAAAATGTGTAATAATGATGTTTATATAAAGATTATAAAAGGAAATAAACCACAAACAAATCATATTTACTGGTAAAGAAGCATTTCACTATGAATGGGTTTTTTCTAATGATAAATTCACTTAAAAATAAATAGTCGAAGAAATGATTAAAATAGGCACACAACAAATTGGATATGATATTCTTTTTTTATTTGTTAAGCTATTTATAAATTGATTTCAGGAAGAATTTGTTTTCACTAGTTTCATTATGCCTACCAATATTAAATAAGGAAAAGCTTATCGAACTACTTAGAAGGGCAGATTCACAATCTCTCTCTCAGGATGCCAGCTCAATGGTCTACAGGTTAAGCGTATACGCATGAGAACGATAGGTCCTGAATTTGAATACCACGAGCAAGATCGTGGATGGGCACTAATAAGGAGTCTTATATTAGAACGAAACGGCCGTCCAGTGCTTTCAGGTTTTTCACTGTAGTCTAACTTCAGTTGACTCATGACCTCAACTGTTGAAATTACTATAAGATCCGCTAAAGCCACTTATGATATGAATCAACATATATTCACTAGTGACCGACTTCAACAGGTATTTCCTGGAATTCTAGTAAGAAGCAGTGACCAGTGGAGTTCAACCGGGTCTATTCTAAGATAGTAACCCACTGATGACAATAGTGGATGTGTCACTCAATTTCGTGGATTAGTTGAAGTCAGACATTAACACCGTTAGATGCCAGCTGGCTCAGTGATCTAGTGGTTAAGTGCTCGTTCTCCAGACTGATAAGTCCGGGGTTCAAACCCCGTGAACCGGGTCGTAGATGCACACTGCTGAGGAGTCACATACTAGGCTTTCCATGGTGGCCCAGCTTCAAATAACTCATGATCTCAACTATTAATTTACTATAATCTTCACAAAACCCTCTTCTGATAAAAAAACCTTGTCATTTAATAAACAACTTTTTGAAATATAAAACGTGATTTCAACAAAATCATCTTAAGTAACAAATATTCATTGTTTATAAGAACGTTATTTATTGCAAAATGGGAAATTTATAATACCCTAAACTATTTCAATTTTATAATATAAAAGTAATTGAAATCTTTATAATTGTATTCATTTCATTTCCTATTGTTAAACATTTTGTTTGTTCTTAAAACTTTTATTCAACAAAAAATCCTACATTTAGATCATATGTTACTTAATTTAGTTTAGTTATTTCTTTCATACGCTTTAAGTTGATATATTTTATTTACACAATACAGATAATGATAAACGGTAGTCCTTGAAATTTGATCAATGTAAAAATATAGTGAATAATTAGTAGGATTACATAGTTGAGTAGAATATTCTCTGTATTGTGAAAAAAGTTATAATACTTGTCGTTGGATGACTGTATCCCAACTCCCTTTAATAACTAACATTATTTTCCTACAAACTGTTTTCGAATAGATAATATTGATTAAATGTCACATTGTCGAACATAGCACACTTTCAACTCTATTAGAAACCGGAGTATGGGGATTCAGTGATTAACATTCCCATCCCAACTTTCATAAACGCTTCCAGTATACTGCCTCCACGGCACGTAAACGTCTGATACTCAATCATTTTAAATCCTGATCATAAAGTATCTTTGAAAAACGTACCTGGAACTCACGAGACTGTGAATAAGTGGATAAGTGATATGACTGAACATAATAATAAGTAAAATTGATCTACCTCACCTAGTTTAAAACAAAATTTTGACCTTAAGCCTTATTTATAATTGTATAATCCTATAAGTGTTAGATAATGTATTCATAGAGATGCCCTGATAACCGACCGATACATAAATGGTGTTTTTTTCATTTTTACACGTAAATAAGGTTTCTGGCACACAACTGCTACAACTTCAACAAGTGGAAGTTAGGTTCTGTCAAAACCTTCATGAACTCCATTGTATATACCCTATGTCTTATGTCATCCAAATATTTATAAAGTAAACTATTATAAGCTTATATTCCACACAATTACTAAGTCTTGCGAAATGTTTGAAAAAATCGATGGTAACATCTTTCTTGTCTATCAATGTAACTGCCATGTTTGATATGTACAATACTATGCACGAAGTCTGAGTTAACATGAGGAAGAAATCTTGCAACTTTCGACTGTGCTGATGAACTTATACAAGATGATCACTTTAGTAATAGAATATGTTCAGATGACTTAGTTGTTTAGCCTTCTATTTATCATCACTACCATTAAAAACTCTTTTTTTATTAAAATCCATATGTCAAATTACATCAATTGTTTCGGGTAAATGAAGAGCTTAAAAAAATTGTTAAGCGAAACATAATATTTTCAATCTAAAATAATCCAAATTGATTGTTAGATTTTTGAACTAGACTATGTAAGTAATTCATTACTGAGTTGTATATTTATTCACTAGTAGATAAATTAATACGTTATATCCATAGTTTAGAAAGTATTCATTTCTAGAATATAAACTAACGACTACTTTCAAATACAATTGATATAACATCAACAAAACATAAGTAATGTATATGGTTCGCTAAAGATATTTGTTTCGTATATTGTACATTGAGTATATATATATATATATATACTCAATGTACAATATACGAAACAAATATCTTTAGCGAACCATATATATATATATTTAACCAATACGCCGAATACATGATTAAATGTAAATCTGAATTTAGCTACCAGTATATTGTTGTTGCTTTTGTTTGCTTAATGCTGATACAGGCTTTTAAAATTAATCTATTAACTTGATATATGTTTATGTTTAAATTTCAACTTACAAAGCTAATGTAACATTCTACTATTATATTACATTTATAGGTATTAAATCTATTCATTCAATTGTTTTAATTTCTTAAAATTTAATTAATTTGAAGGTATGAGAAAAGTATTTCTGAACAAAAGTTCTTGCAATAAAATATATTTATTTTAATTATTGGATTATCATCAGCTCCAGACTACTTGAAATTGCAAATAATCTATGATTAGAGGCAAAGGACTGATACACTTTCGTTTATGAAATTAAGATGAACATTTGAAACTGGCGAAAATTCATAAGAAGAGGTAGTTGTCACACTATGGGATACGTAACATGGTTGTGAACGTCTATATGTGTTTATATATATCTAGCATTTTGTAACGAAGAATTCTTTAGGTACTTATGGAAAGAGGTCGTGGATGCGCACTGCCGAGGAGTTCCACAATAGGATGAAACGGCCGTCTAGTGCTTCCAAGTTTTCCACGGTGATCTAGCTTCAATTGACTCATGATCTTAACCATTAAAATTATATTGTATAGATTGTTACTAATCCACATAAATATATTTGTAATACCCCAATGAGTAGAAAAATTAAATTTTATGACTTTTTGTAGCTCATTGTAAGCCGCTTATTTGGAGAATAAATTAATTTAACTAACGCAAGTTTAAACAGTAGAAAGGAACAAAGCAAATATATTTAATCAAAAAACAGATCTGACAAACTCAATGTCATATCACCCCAGTCACAGTAATCTATGTGTGACATGCTTGTGTATTTGTATGTGTTAATGGGTGAAAATTGTAACATTTTTAATATGAAAGGAGAGAGCAAACAACAGGAAAAAATAAGATTATTATAACTGAAGAGAATTAAAAAAAGAACGGTAGCATATAGTTAACATTTTACAACTTAATAATGTTTTGAATTTGTAAATACTGCAATAAGCCCTTGAGTTTCAGATTTGTTAGAAATCGATAATTATGATTGTTAGTTACATATGATCATAAACTATTATAATCGATTATAAACTCAAACCGAAACAACATAATGGTTAACATAAATTTTTTTTCGTTTTCTATCTTTTTAAGAAGCGAGAGATGAATACTTCGGAATCCACGCATCTAGTGTATGATGGATGGAAAATTTGTTACATCAGCTCAGTATGGAAGCCGGATAGTGGCTATTAAAGACGTTTATAAGATGTATTAACAGTTTTTATTCACGTTAAACAAAATTAAATGATATACATCAATCATTTCCAAAACTTTAAATTGGAAACTATTACTTTATCAGTGCTTTCTCTAAATCACTGCTTACATTTGATTTATTCAACACAGAAATTCAATATTAGTGGAGTATTAAGACAAACGTAGTACCGTGTAACATTCAATTAAGACTACATTTTCTAGCTATAATCCTTATGAAAAGTGTTACAAATCATATTTCAGTCAATTTCAAATGAACAAGTGAGATTAATTAAAGAGGAAGAATGTATTTGTAAAATTTCAGTGAATGAATTTTGAAGTAAATCCAACGTTTCACCTGGAAATCTGGTCAAAGTTTTTTCAAGGAAATATAATCAAACACCAAAATTATCAAACATAGATAGGTACATGGTTCTCCGGTTCATTGTATACTGAATAGGTTATCCAATCAATGTTAACAATGTATAAAGTAGGTATTTACATTAGTGTGTAAGAGACATGTGGTGTGAAGACGAAAGGTGTTAAGAAAATAGATTGTGTGTATACGTAAGTGATAAGAAATTTCATTCACTATATAATGTCTTCGGTCGGTGAATATTAAGAAGAACATATAATTTTTTATATATGATATGAATCCAAAATGTCACAGGATGCATTAAATTGCCAGGCGAAACGCTGGATTTACTTCAAAATTCATTCGCTGAGATTTTACAAATACATTCTTCCTCTTTAATGTCTCACATTAACTCAGCGCCCAAATACTGTGAAACTATTCGATCAAATTTAGGCGAATGTTCTTAAGTGAAAATAATGTCTTACGTTTTGTGTTTTTTTTTTAATTTCAGCTTATCAAGAAAGCAGTAAAGTAAATTCACATCATTTTCAAATTCAGTGAACAATTAATCAACATCCCTTTTTACTTCGAATATAATTGTCTTCGGACAACTTTGAACATATTTACATTAAATGAGTTACAAGAAACTTATGATAGATGTTTATAAGTAAATAGTTCTGAAAAGGTTTTTTAGCGAACAAGAACACGAGTGGGGACAATCGAATGCATTTGGTGCAAAATTACAGGACTTGTTAATAAAATTTAACAATCACATAGTAAATGCTTAATTTGCGAAATGTCCATCAGTTGTCTCAAAATGACTCAGACTTCATTGTTCTTGCATTTTCATACAAATCTCATTCTGTTTCCATTCCTTACTGTTCGATCCTCTTGTCTCTCTTCTGCCAGACATTCTGTTCACAACTAACATCATATGCTACTTATGTCAATGTAAGTAGCACACACCAAGGTTTTTCCTCATATTTAAAAGATTATATAAAACCTGTATAATATAATTGTTTTACTTGAAACAGTAATTTTTAGATGATAAAGACGAAGAATGTATGCCATGTTCAAAATTAAATAAGCGATAATTATAAATAATGCTCAAATAAAACTTTTATGAATCTAAGAATGTAATTCGAAACTATAAAAGAATAAATCTTAAGATTTCTCAGATTGTCTGTCTTTCCAAAGAGTTTTTTTAAACCATTCACGAGTAAATGAAGTCGATGGTGCATTTGGCTCTTCAATTCTTGATAAATCATCCATAGAACTTTTCCAATTATTTTTTAAATGTACAATATTATGTGTTGAAAGGTAATTCTTGTTTTCATTTTGCTTTGAAATAGTTATATCAACTGGTGATAAAGGTGTTATATCATCTGGAAGTTTTACAGTTTTAAAATTTGAATTTGTAACAACAGGTCTTTTAAATTTGGCTTGTGCTAGTCGAACGTAGTGTAACCGTTTTCCTGACAAATCTTGAATATCACCGAGTTCTGGTGGTATTTGATCTTGTTGCATATCAGATCGTTTCCCCAAAAGTCCAGACCATAAACCACAATAAGCACTAGCTAAACTTAACTGTTCAGAGTTCAATTTTTTTTCTTCAACTGAACACTCACTAAAGTTATTGTTATTTAACATCTCTTGGCTGATCATTCGATTATCAAATTTAAGCGATTTTAAATCAGGTGACTTTGATCGAGTATAGTCTTTTTCCATTGAATTAATCAGTAACAAGACCTGAAATGAAAGTAAAAATTAAGCATTAACTTCTGTTTTGTAAACGTCTTTTAAGACATTTGCCATTATCTGTTCCCGATTATTAGTAGTATAATTAGACTTCCTATATTGTTATTTTATATATTTGAATACCTGTCTATTATTATGTGCTAAAATTTGCCTAAAACCACAGATTAACGGATTCTATCTCGTATTGTGAAAACAATCAACGTTGTAGAATAATGGGATTTTATTTCTTTTCGTTTGCTCTGTCTTTCAAATATGCATTAGTTTTTTAAGTAAAATATTTCGTATTTTAATTTCAACTGACATTTTCTTGATGATTAACTTACTGTTACTTCTACATTTCTTTTTTCAGTTTTTCTTTGTCACTTAATCTGTAAGCTTCACAAATATTCCTCATTCTCTATACCATTATTCACATAATTACAATAACAGGTTATCATTCCCTTTATTGAACATCTATATTTTATAACTATTACAATATTCTTACAATTATTTAGATTATTATTGCCGTTTAACTTCTCCCTCCCCCATATCCATTGATTCTTCCATTCGAATGATTGTTTCTACTCTAAATTTTCAAAACATCTTGTTCTACAATAATTTGTTCACTATAATTATTATTCTAATCAATTAACTATCGGGTTTTGTGATTACTACCAAGCTTATCATTTTGCCTACCCTATTAATCTATATATATATATATATATATATATATATATATATATATATATATATATATATATATATATATTACTACTGGCTTGACCTCATCATGATCTCACTCACACTGTTTCTATATAAATTGAATACGTTCACTTGTGGAAATTGATTTTAGCCATCTCTCATCAGTCAATTAAATAACTTTACAATATTATATTTGTAAAATACTTAATTGAAAATATTTTTCAGTATTTGAAAGAGTCAACTAAAAATAATTAATTCACTTGATCACATAAAATTATTTATTCTTGCTTCATAAACGATTGTCAACGGAAAGAATATTGTTTATTTGGATGTGTCACTCAATTTCGTGGATTAGTTGAAGTTGAACATTAACACCGTTGGATTCCAGCCGGTTCAGTGGTTAAGCGCTCGCGCGCGAGACTGATAGGTCCTGAGTTCGAATCCCACGAGCGGGATCGTGGATGTTTGCTGCTGGGGAGTCTCATACTAGGACGAAATGGTCATCCAGTGCTTCGAGGTTTTTCATGGTTATCTAGCTTCAATTGACTCATGATTTCAATTATTGATAGTTAAAAATGGTTTATTATGTGAATGACTTAAATTATTTTTATAAATCAAGAGAAAATAACAAATCATATTCACCACTTATAATGTTTCATCAGCTGACTTAAAATTATGTATACTCTACGGTATTGTATGATAATATTTCCATTCAGTTTAGGATTTCATACTATCAATGTCAAAATAGTATTTTATATCAGCTAACAGTAACTTAAATATAAAGAATAAAAGTAAACATTAGTAAAAAAATATGTTTTACTCTAGCCATGTTTGTTTAATTCATTAAAGCTGGTTATCACAAATAGAGGAAAACCAAGTGTTCTGCCTTTTGAAATGTTAGATATCTAACTCTCTTATTATCAAGAATAATAACATCTATGTTTAATAGACGAAAGGTAAATTGAACATATGTGAGTAGTGGGTTCCATCGCTAGTCAGTATTCAACAAACAAATACAAGCATCAATAAGACTTTTAATCAAGGAGACCATCTGTCAACAGTGATTGAGTAATATGCTCAAGAAATGTAAACAGTGGAAAGTTTTAAACCCTCACAAATGATATCTTATAGATAATTTTTTAACTAAAAGATTTCTAAGACATCATTTTGCTATCAAATAAACTTAGACAGGATTATTAACCAAAATTATATGTAGATGAACAAAAATGTTGGAATGGAAAAAAAAGGTTATATAACTACATACATTTGACCATATTTCATAAGTCGCTCTAGCTTTCAGAGACTTGACTCCTTCACAAGCTAAGTCTGAATGTTCAGTAAAAAGAACTGGATAGAGAGAAAACAGAATTTCTGTAACAAAATTCGAACTCAATCCTGTTACTCTACCAAATTTCACTTGTTTGTTTGTCTCCGATTTTGTATAAGAATTTTGCATTCCTTTGGAGGTATGCTCTTCCGTTTTACCAAGTGTTTTTGGTGAAGTTGGTTGTGATTTGGCTTCCTCGCGAACTGAATTATCTTGTTTTTCATTTTCCTTTATCTAAGATAAGAATTGTCAAAAATTATAAAATAGTATTGATATCTATAGGTTGGGTGACTAAATGGTTTGTTTAAAATAAGTATTAAAAAATAAGGAGACAGACTTCAGTCTTATACAGGCAAAAAGTTATGAAATAATCATTTCATAATTTTGAAGCATTTAAAAGTGATTATATGCAAAACGTTAGAACCAAAATGTCAATTATGCTAGCTGGGATAGATCTCTGTATGAAGGTGAGAAGTACTTTAGTTTAATCAACTTAGTTTTCTGTTCACTTGCACCGGTTTGTTTTTTACTGTATACTTTATGAAAAGGCTTATATATTCGTTCAGGAAATGAATTAGTAAAAACGTTACATGTAATTATCACGATAAAGCAATGATTGTACATTTTATGTAAAGATAAATAGTCAGTGACTGGATAATCTTCATTTGTTCTTGAAGCGTTTGGAAATTGGATCATAAAAACAGATGCTTTTATGAAATTCTAAAAGCTCAAAACAAGTCTAATACGAACATAAGATTATGAAAAGTACTGTTCTTACTATGTTTCATTTTGAAATTATTCACTGTTTAAAACTTGCGTGATTCATAATCAGTTCTCCTATCATAGAATTTAAGAAAATGAACTGATGTAACTGACTTTTGATGTAATGAACATTGACCTATGATACACAATCTCTTGGCCAATAATTATATCTATATAAGTCAGACCAAGGAGAGAATTCGCTTTGCTCCAAGAAGCAATTTACTTGTCAATAACTATTCCAAATTTTATTATATCAAGAAATGATCGAATGTAATGACATGTGAAAGACTGAGTTAATATTATTCATAAATTCATCTTTATTTATGAGTAAGACCATTAAATGAATGAGTATTTTTGGTGTGATAGTTAACAAACGTTCGTCTTCATTTCAGATCACGTATATTCCGGATTTGCTAACCACTTTTAAAAAAATTACAATCTGAAAGATTTGAGTAGCTGATATTTAGATCATATAATGTGAAAGATATTATATAACTAGTATAATAACCATGAAAAACTTACTACTTCTAGTTTCATGGAATTCATATCACAAGTATGCCCATCGTCATCCACAGAATCAGATTCTTCAAATTGTAAGGGCATATCCTCTGAATATTGGTTATTGAAAGGATTAAACAAACAAGCCAATTTGCATAATGATACTCTTGATTGTTTAGATACACATGATGGAGAGTATGCACTATATTGTTTCATCAGTGCAGTCAATATGTGCATACGATTGTGCGAATTAATTGTATACTCCTGGAAAAATAATATTAAAGAAAATGAATTAATCCAATGTACCTTTGTAATATTTTTAGTGTGATTTGTACACTTAGATAAGACTGAAATGACTTCGCACATTTATTTTAATCATCATTAATTAGAACCGAAACTATGGTACTATCATTCGTTAGATTTTAAAAATCGTTTTCATTCAAAATTTTCAATCATAAACTAATATAGTTAATCGTCATCTAAAAATTGACAGATACTGACTTATCAAAAAATAAAAATCTCAGTATTCGAAAGATCCATAGATGTCAAGTTTCATATTGTGAATGTTCTCAGAATTCTACTATAATCCTGTAAAATACGATAAAACAAGAACTTCTTACCAAACTTATATTGCAATATGATACTGTCATGTCTGTGTCGTTTATTCTCATACTTGAAAAAACAAAGAAACATTGTAGTTCCCATGATGCGAAGTATGAATCATAAGATAAGTACAGCTGAAGACTTATTAAAGCCAAAACACAACGGCGACCCTATTCGAAAATACACTTATTGATATATTGATTGTTCACCTATTTTGTTCACTAATTAAGAAAAAGTCACATATATGAAAAATACCTAGAATTATAATAAATCACATGCTGAGTGTCATGATGAGCATAGTTTAAGTTAAGCAAATACGAAGAATCTCGTTTCATGAACAAACCACACTCAAACAAATTAGTGTTATGACGAATAAAATATCATACGGGAAAACAAAACAAATACTACACAAAGTAATTATCACAGTGAATTTAAACGGAAGTAATGTTGAACAAAATGTCACAATGAATAAACGAATGTAATTTTGACTTTTCATCCTGTTATATCAGACACATTATTTACAATCAAAGATTCATACACGAATTATGTAGGGAATTATCTAGGTAATTATGTCAGTTTATTCATTATTACATAAAGTTATATAATAAGCTTTCATAAAAATGACTTTATGAACAGTTTCTGTTCTAATCACAATTTAGTATATTATATCGCATGGTATCACTTCAGCAAACTCAACCTTTACAACTTACGGGATTTTGCTAGTAACCATTATGAAACGCTTAAACAAACTTTTATGGGTATAACTTGACAGTAAACCGATTTAATGGGCCATTTGTGAAGTGAATGAATATGATGAGTCATGAATACAACTCGAAATGTATTATTGCGGAAATATACTTACTTATTTACTTACGCCTGCTACCCCTCATGGAGGAGTATAGGCCGCTCACCAGCATTCTTCATCCATATCTATCGTGGACAATCCTTTCCAGTTGTTTCCAGTTCCTGTTCATATTGAAGATTCTGACTTCGATGTTGACTGACAGTTGTTTTAATTTCCATATATTCTTCAATTGTAGGAATGCGGACTTTACTTTGCCAATCCTCATATTTACTTCTGCATCAGATCCTTGTTCTTCATCGATGATGCTGCTGACCAGCTACGTAGAACTTACAACCTCTTCCATAGCTTCTCCATTAAGTGAGATTGGATTTTTTTCTCCCTGTTGTATTCTATGATCTTGATTTCTCAATTGTGTATGCTGAGGCTGCTGTCACACTAGTTGTTTTCATCTGCATTTGTTGATGTACATGGGATAGAAGAGCTAGGCCATATTCAAAGTCCAAATCTTCCAATTGATTTCGAACTGTCCGTTGTATCCCGTGTCTACCCTCAGATCTGGAGATCTTCATAGTCTGGTCAACCACCAAATGTGAAAGAAAGGGAGTGAGATTAAGCATGTTTGTCAGACTTCGGTCCTTACTCGGAATGTGTCTGTCAGCCATCCTCAATGCACGAATTTACACTGTAGTTCGTCGCATGAATTTCGGGTGATATTGATGAGTTTCTCAGGTACTTCATAGTGTCGAAGAAGTTTCCACAATGTTCTCGTATCCAGACTGTCGAACGCGTTTTCGTAGACAAAGAAGTTGATGTGACGAGTTCCATTCACTTGAATGTTCAACGATGATTCCTAGTGTCACGTACTGGTCTGTGCATAACCAATCCTTACGGAATCCAGTCTGTCAATCTCAAAGTTGGGTGTCTATTGAATCTGCCTTTCGGTTCAACAACACTGTTGAAAACCTTTCCTGGTACTGATAGTATTGTGATGCTTGTGTAATTTCCACATTTGCCAGAGATCTTTTCTTCAGTATGTTGATGAGGTGTCTTTCTTTCCAGTCTGGCAGCACTTGTTCCACCTCCCAAATCTTCCCGAATAGAGTGTAGAGCTTGTTTGTAGTTACTTTTACGTCTGACTTCAGTGCTTCAGCTGGTATATAGTCAGGTCCAGATGCTTTCTCACTCTTGGTTTTTCTGATGATCATGCTGATTTTTTCGATCATTGGTGAAGTAACATCTACGGGAAGATCTATGTGTGCTGCTTCGATTTGCGGTGGATTCAATGGAGCCGGCCTATTCAGAAGTCTCTAGAAATGCTCTACCCATATATTCCTCTGTTATTAAATCTCAATGATTGACTTGCATTGGTCGCTCTGGTTAACTATATTTCCTTACCAGGTTCTTCGTTGTGTCATATAGTTGTCTCATATTGCTTTCTCTTGCAGCGTTTTCCGCTGGCGTTGCTAGGTCTTGCACGTAATACATTGCAGAAACATACTTCGCACAAATCAATCTCAAATAATATATATACATTAAGAATTGTCGTTCATCATCCAACAGTTTCAAATAACCTACTTAAACATGTATCTATCCACTATCCAAATTTTACAGGCAAGAAATCAATCTGATCGTGTAATTGAACCTATCGGAGAAAGATTATTAGCCTCAGTTATCCGTTCAGGAAGTTTGAAGTCAAATCAGGATTATTTAAAATTGTTATTGATTTATTTTTAGTCAATACGATTAGACTTACTACTGGATAGAATCATATAAAAACGGAAGTGGTAATTTGAACTTAACTCTTTCAAATCAATAATTGATATCAATAAATTAAAACATAAAAAGACGTTAAAAAGTTATTTTCCTAAATATAATTCTTTGCGAGGTGATTTTCACAGAACATATGTGTCCCAAAATGTTGTTTATATTTTAAGTCTATCATTTTGATAATGTATGTTCAACAGATCAGCAGCATTTAATGTAACAAAGCCAGTATCTTAAATTATATGTATCAACAAAATGAAATTTAAGTAAACGACAAAAGTCCAGAAAGTTTTCTACTGATATAGTAATGATACTTATTACAATCTGAAGCCAATCTCTAGTTAATCACATGGTAAATGTCAGCAGTACCTATTGTGTTAAAAACGATAAAAGTTAGGAATTCACAAGTTTGTTGTACGTTAAAAGTCGTTTACTCTTTAACTTTTCTTCTTGCTAATTCGTAATTTTGTTTTATATGGCAAAAATAACATGTCCTCACAACATTATAATAATGCAATCATGACCAGTGTTTCTAACTTCCAATCCACAACCTGAGTTGTTCAACAATTTATTAAATCACTCTTTCCAAAACCTCTCATTTCAAATTTATTGACCGATTAAGAAAGTGATTTCGATGAATATGTGAGAGTTTTTGTAGGTGAGAATAAAATAAACAAAAGGATTTAATGTCATTAAAATTTATACTGATCTGATAAGTAATGATGTAATTTTCTAAAATGATTGACTGTATCACATGTGATACATTAATGAAGTCAATTTACCAAACGTATATTTGAAACAGAATATGCTCATTTACATTTCATAATTGTTTCACATTAAATCCACTAACTAATTTCAACTATATTCAGCATAGAAATATTTTTTAGTCGATATTACTCAGAAATATCCCGAAAAGCAAATTCACTCTTCCTGAGAAACAGCTTGACGAAATGTGAAGCATTAACTCTAACAGATTTTGAGAAGTACTGCGTCTGTATTTCGTGAGTCGAACATACTGTAACAGAAAACCAATTGTTTTAATCAGTAAACTATTTTCATTCTATGAACATAATTCACAATAAATAAATTAAATTTCCATATAAACCATTTTCCTTTTCATATGTAATGGAACATTACACATCATTCGTTATTTATAAGTCAATTATAGACAATATACGTTATGATGAAAATATGTATGAATTCTAAGTTCACACTAGACTTCAATAGAGTGAGAGAAAATCAACAAAATGTCAGACACAGTAAATATAGTTTGCAATTTTTATTAGCGGGAAGGTAAATACAAGAAATATAATTGAAAAGTAACTAACATAGTTGAAGAATAAAAAGCCTATTGACATTAATCTGTTGAGTTGATAGAAAATAATTAATATGGAATGTTGATACATCCACGCTGAATAACTTTCAACTATCATCTGATTTCTGTAAAGAAGGACTACAATTATAAGGAAAGATGGATAGTGGCTAACAGTGAAATACAAGATGCGTGTTTTGTCAGCTGGACGTACCTATATCTCAAAGTTGATACTTACTCCGCGATTCGAACCCAGTACCGTTTGCTTCAAACGCCATCGCGTTATCCACCTAACTGCTGAGTCCTGATAGCACCTGCTTGTGCAATGAGATGAATTTCAAATCCACTTGGTATTGTTTGCTTGCATATTCCCATTGATGTTCACGACCGCAAATGATCAGTCTTTTGTCAGCATATGTGCATCATGTGTGGATTGCTAGCCACCATCCACCTTTGCTTATAAAGCTTGTAACTTAGGGCAATATCAATGTAATCCACACTTGTTGCACATATGCCAATAAGAGACTGACCAATTACAGTCGCGAACACCAATGGGAAGATTCACGTAAACAATACCAAGTGAATTTAAGGATTACAATTGACTAAACTATTTTACCTAAGAAGTTCATATCAATAACCATAATCTAGTGTTAGAAAAAAGCCTCGTAAACTAATGTGATATTTCACGGCTTCTCACTAGAACTCCGAGAATTCCCTCACGAAGCTAGTCACTAGTGGAGCTAATCCTTGTCGGGTAGAGACAGTTATCTACCTCAGTACAATGGAAGTTGGTCGCGCAATTTCGTGGATTGGTTAATGTTAGAAACTATCACCATTGGATGCCGGCTCAGTGGTCCAGTTGGTTAAGCGTTCGCGCGCGAGACCGAAGGCCCTGGGTTCGAAACCCGCTCGCGGGGTCGTGGATGCGCACTGCTGAGGAGTCCCATAATACGACGAAACGGCCGTCCAGTGCTTCCAGGTTTTCGATTATTTCTCTATCTAATGCTTAATTTATTTGAAACTATCATGTCCAATCTTGCTATTGATACCTACTAGTTACACTATGCTTTGTTTCAAAATCATTATAATGTTAACTAATAACATGGGTAACATTGATTTGATTTTATTCAAATAACGGTAATAAACATTCTCCAATATTTGATTATATGTAGTAAAATTCCAGATCAGAGTATAAAATATGTAATATTCTGAAAAAAAAGGGATTACTTCAGTAGTTTAAACATTTTTAGTATTTTGTCGTTTTGTGTTACATATAGTTATATACATTTTTCTTATTATCTATCCAGCATTAATATTTTCATGTATAATAAATCTCATACAATGGTATGTTTTAAAGTGTTCTACATACATATTCACATTAATATACACTATACTAGAATTGTACTTCTGTTGTTTATATTTTAAACCAAAAGGATCGGGAAAGCATAAAAGTTGACTGGAAGTATGATATATTTCTTTAAAAGTTTATTTAAAAAGGTTAAATGATCACGGTAGTAGATAAACACCGCTATGTCTACTGGTAAATCAAACATAAAATAAATATTTCTTCATGAAACTCCAAAAACGATGATATAGAACATGTATTATCATTGCCTTTAGGCAGTCATCTGTTTTACTCAATATTTTGTCAAGAAATTCCTATTCATCTCGACAAAATAACCAATTTAGAAAAATGTTGAAACACTTGTTATGATACAGTTACTGAATATCAATTCAACTGCATACCCTTTTTCCATGCTTAAGTAATTTAAATATCCCATGAGATATATAATATACTATATGAGTTTTGGTTATATTTTATTGTGAATAATTTTAAATTCTGATATAAAACAGAATAAGTAAAAAACATTAAGTATCAGTATTATAATCTTAATTTGTACAGATATGAATATGTACTAAAAATAAAATGCTGAAGTTATATCTAATTTTAGCGTTAGTCAATGGATGATTATAAAAGTTTTACCATTATTCATCAATCTCTTTACTACTCACTATAAATATGATATCAATGGATAATTACTAGTCATTCGCAATTAATATTAGTTATTAATAATAATAACAAAAAATACATATTTATTTATCTATTCCCTATGAATATTTTCTTATCAGAAGAGGTTTTGTGGAGATTTTTAGAAATTTGAATAGTTGAAATCATGAGTCAATTGAAGCTAGACCACCATGGAAAACCTGGAAACACTGGACGGCCATGTCTTCCTTGGACGGGACCAGGTCTGTTGTGAGATATCAATATACTGAAGACAATAGTGTACGGTGGCGCAACTTCGTGGATTGTTTGAAGTTAGACATTAACACCATTGGATGTCAGCCGGTTCAGTGATCTAATAGTTAAGTGTGAATTTGATATGTCCCGGGAGGCAAGATCGTAGATGTGCACTGCTGAAGAGTTCGAAATGGCCGTTCAGTGCTTCCAGATTTGCGATAGTGGTCTAGCTTCAATTGACTCATGATTTTAACTATTGAAATTTTTTGTTCTCGGATTACCCAAATAATTTTAAATTTAACAGACTCAGTAATTGACTTGTTTATTTATTTTTGTTTTGCAAACATTGTTGAAATCTTATCTCAAAATGGAATCTAACGATCTACTTAAAATCTTTATTATGATTTTCTTCTTCTTTTATAAAATGCAATTTAGAAAGATACAATAATAAAATATTTCACAAGTTGAAATCATGAGTCAATTGAAGTTAGACCACTATGGAAAACCTGGAAGCACTGGACGCCGTTTCGTCCTAGTATGGGACTCCTCAGCAGTGCGCGTCCACGAACCCGCCCCCCGCGGGATTCGAACTCAGGACCTACTGGCTTCGCGCGCGAGCACTGCTGAGAAGTCCCATACTAGGACGAAACGGCCGTCCAGTGTTTCCAAGTTTTCCATGATGGTCTAGCTTCAATTGGCTCATGATTTCAACTTGTGAAATTTCTAAAAAAAATCTCCACAAAACCCATTGTGATAATAAAATATTTATTAATAAAAACTTACATTAAATTTTTTATTTAAATATAATTCATTATTAAATTGATTTGATTGTTTTTTTGTAATTGTATATTGATTACATAATTTGATATGATTTAAATAATCCATTTTATTGATTTCATTAGAATTTAATAATTCATCATAATATATTGTTGAATTATATAATATTAATGAATTAAATTTTTCTTCATTTATTATATTTAATAAATTTTTTTGATAAATTTGATAAATAGTCAATAAAAAAATTTCAAAAATATTAATTAAATTCATTGATTCATTAAAATAATTCATTGATAATTGTTTTTTTGTATTTTGTTTTATTAATTTATTATTATTGTTATTATTAGTTAATTTTATATTATTTTCTGATTTTATTAATAATTCATTATTTAATTGAATTGTATCTTGTGATTTTGTTTTAATTGTATGTTTATTTACATTAATTAATTGATTTGATTGATTATTCATTAATTGTGAATAATTTTCATTTTGTTTTAATAATAATAATGAAGAAGAAATTTTATCAACATTTTTAAATTTTATAAATTTTTTATCCGGTTTATTAGTTGTTATTAATTTGTTTTGATGAGATTTTTTTGATCCAAAAAAAACTATAAAGAAAAATGAGGAAATTTTTAATTTAGAAATTTAATTTTAAAGAATAATTAATTAAAGACTAATAGTTTATTTATTCGTTTTTCTAAATAAAAATAGTTTATTTGAATAAAGTTTATCAGTAGTTTAGATCATGAGCCAGTTGAAGTTAGATCATCATGGAACACCTAGAACCGGCCATTCTGTTCTACTGTGGGACTCCTCGGCAGTGCGCATCTACAACTCCGCCTCACGGTATTCAAACCCAGGACCTATCGTTCTCGCGCACGAGCGCTTAACCATTAGACCAATGAACTGGCTAGCATCCAACGGTGTTAATGTCTATCTTCAGCCAATTCACGAAACTGAGAGACACATTTACCATTGTCATTGGTAACTTACTATCTCACAACTAATCCGATTGAACTTTACAAAATTTAAAAAAGAAACAATAAAATATATGAAAATATATATGATTTTTATGAATATTCGTCAAGATTAGAACAAATAGTTTGACAAAATTTAGGCGTGCAGTATAGAAAATTTGCTTTATGTGAAAATTAGATTTAAGATAATCTCAGCGATTGAAATTCAATGTAATTCTAACGTTTCGTCTAGTAAACTTGTCTAGACTTCTTCATGGTAATTGTCAAAATCATCAAAGAAATACTTGGCGTCTTAACAATCAAATCAGATCAAATCTATACTGTGTTAATCCAATCATATTTGGATGTTTATTTTTAGTAAATAGAATAATATGAGTCAATTAAATGTGAATCATTTGAAAAGTTCATGAAGTAAAAATAAATGATTGAACGAATTGTCTGTGTGTATGTGTGTATGTGAAAGATTGAGTCAATTAATAGCTGATATTAGGTGTTAATATGTTTTTATATGAAGAAAAATAAAAATATCATTCATTAATAACTAAATAAATTTGTGAACAGTGATCGGCTGAAGAACACTATTTGCAAAGCTGCTGCAAAGAATAGTTTATTTAGAGTCGAAAACGTTTTTCAGGATATCTGTAGCTTATTCACCTTTGAAATCAATGTTCACATAGTGTCTCCTTTTAAATAGAGGTTATTTGTACTGTCGGTGGTTCTGCTTTTACATTCTTATCAGTAAATATCTCTGATTCTTCTGATTACAGTTCATCTCATATCATGATAAACATTCTCTTCCCAATTATAATTCCCGTGTCAATCTTCAGGAGAAATATTCAAGCTCCCTATAACAAAATTATTATTAGATTCCTTGATAAATATAACGTTTTAATGCCTTTGTTTATTCTGTCTCACTGTTACCATGTTTAGCAGAATTTTATTATCATTATTATTATTATCAATATTATTGTGATTATTATAGTTTTATGAACAAAGTATATGTTTACGATTGTACAGATTTGTAAATGAATTCACCGAAAAAAAGAACTTTTAGTTGAACCAAGCGTTCTTATTTTACAAAATAATACATCAAATCATATGATTACTTTCTCATAGAAAAAAAGTCGAACATTGTTAAAAAAATTTAAGCAAATGAATAAACAAAACTTTATAGGTTTCATTATCAATGTTTAACTTGATAATTTCAAATAAATTTAGCATTCAGTAGATTGGTATAAATAAAAATAATATATTTGTAAAATCCCGATGAGTAGAAAAATTAAATTTTCTGATGTTTCGTGACTCAGTCCAAGTCACCTCTTCAGAAAATAAATAACCAAATCAAAAACTTAGATGAACTCTAATTTCGTTATTTATTCTCTGAAGAAGTGGCTTACAGTAAGTCACAAAACGTTAGAAAATCTAATTTTTCTACTCATCGGGATGTTACAATTATATTATTTATTTAAAAGAAAACCTTTGATTCATTTTTCCAAATTTAGTATATTTGTATAATATCTAAAACAAATACTTTGAAAGTTATTTGACTTCTATTTTAGTTATACATAGTTAGATAACAAATACTTAATTATAAAACTTGTTTATTGAAAGAAATAAGCTTTACTTAATAAACTGTATTCTAAACAATAAATAAGAACTTTCGTCTAAATTTAAACGAATAGTTTCACCATATTTGTGCGCCGAGTTCATTTGAGACATTAAAAGGAAGAATATATTTGTAAAATCTCAGCGAATGAATTTTTAAATAAATCCAACGTTTCGCCTGCAATCTGTATTCTAAACATATTTTTTTCAATGAGGGCACTTGTGAATAGTATGGTAATTTCAATAATTGAGATCATGAGTAAACTAAACCTAGACCACCATGAAAAATCTGGAAACACTGGACGGTCATTTCGTCCTAGAGTGGGACTCCTCAGTAGTGCGCATTCTTGACAAAAATGTAAACAACTAAAAAACGACATTAAAATAGAAATTATTTTTATTATATAATAAATTAATAGTTTAACTATGTTTATAAAGAATTTATTGTTTTACACTAACAAAAAAATTCAATTTAATTACAAATCACATTTGTTTCTGTTTAAAACAAAATTGATTAAGATTGATTTTTGATCAAACAATAAAATCATTTCCTTTTTTTTAAAAAAAATAACTAACAAGGCAATCAATTAATTAAGGACAACTTGTATGTTACTAAGCTTTTCTCAAATGTAATAAAATGAGTTTGTCCAAATTTTGGGTCCATTTATTAAATAAATAAAAATGTAAAGAAAAAAATTAATTAAGATTTTAGGATTAAAATGAGTTTATAAAAGTAATTTCTTATTTTGCATATAACTAAGAAAATTTTGTTCAAGAAAGTATCATGATAAAATAAACAGTATGGTTCACCTAATTGATTTATTTTATGATAAAGTGAATAAATAAAGAAGAATTAAGTCAGTTATCGCAAATAGTATTTCAATGATCTCAACCAAAAAAAACTTAACTATCTCCACAACCCCCATACTGATAATTAACATGTGCTCACTAGTGACTAGCTTCGTGAGGGAATTTTCGGAGTTCTGGTGAGAAGTCGTGACCAGTGGAGCTAATCCGTGTCGGGTAGAGACAGGTATCTACCTCAGTACAATGTAAGTTGGTCGCGCAATTTCGTGAATTGGTTGATGTTAGACACTAACACCATTGGATGCCGGCTCAGTGGTCTAATGGTTAAGTGCTCAGGCGCGAAGCCAGTAGGTCCTGGGTTCGAATCCCGCTCGCGGGATCGTGGATGCGCACTGCTGAGGAGTCCCATACTAGGACGAAACGGCCGTCCAGTGCTTCCAGGTTTCCAACGGTGGTCTAACATCAATTGATTCATGATCTCAACCAAAAAAATAAAGAAGAATTAAGTCAGTTATTGCAAATAGTATTTCAATGTGATTATAATAGTAGTAGTAAAAATAACAGTGATTACCTCTTAGTGACTAATCAATATATGTATTTGATCCTTTCAAGTTCTATCTCATTTAATAACTCATTCAATATCAACATCTTTGAGATGACGTATTTGACGTGAGTCCCAAACAATACCTTTAAGATTTTATTTACTTACTGTTGATAGATTTGAAATTATAAACAAACTGCATTCTACTAATTGCCTTCATTAAGTTACGCTGGAAATATTACCTCTATAATCTTAGCTATTGCATTTGTAGAATTTCTACCAAAAACTACACTTCATTTTCCAACTTAAATCAATGATTTTCAAGTTATTAGATGATATTTAATGCAGAATTAAAACTAGAAGAATCTTACTTACTTACTTAAGCCTGTTACCTCTCATGGAGGAGCATACGCCATCAACCAACATTCTACATCCAGCCCTGGGCATGAAAATCCTTTCATGTTCCCATTCAGCCTTTTCATATTTGCTTCCAATTCTCAGAGAAGTGTGAACTTTGGTCTTCCTCCTTTCCAGTTCCCTCAGAAATTACAAGTCACTGCTTGCTTCGTGATTCAGTCTGATGACTTCCTCAATGTATGTCCTATTCACTTCCAATATCATTTCTCAATTTCCTTCCCATCTGGAAACTGGTCTGCTCTCTTTCATAGTAGACGGTTGCTGATGATATCCAGTCAACAGACATTGAGTATCTCACGTAGACAATTATTTATAAATACTTGTACTATTTAGATGATGGTTGTAATGGATGTGCAAGTTCCATCTCCCTGTAGTATTGAAGATTCTGACTTTGATGTTTGCTGACAGCTGTTATGAGCTGCATATGTTCTCCAACTATAGAAATGCTATCCTTGCTTTGCCAATCCTCGCCTTTACATCTGCATCGGTTCATCCTTGGTCATCGAAGCTTCTTCAAAGTAAGTGAATTTTTACACATCTTCCAGAGTTTCTTCATCAAGTGACATTGGTTTGGTGCTCACTGTATTGTATTCGAGCCTTGCTTTTTCCCTTGTTTATATTGAGGCCCACTGATGGAGAGGTTTCTGGGACATTGGTTGTCTTGACTTGCATTTGTTCGTGTGTAAAGGATAGAAAAGCTAGGTTATCTGTGAAGTCCAAATCATCCAGTTGCATACAACCTGTCCATTGTATTCCTTACTTCATAAAAATCTTAAAATGTTATCACATAGTTTTTATCATTGATTTTCATTCTTATGACACACAAATTTCCATTTTCAATATTAATCCGTTTATCTTATTATTTACTGAAAATGTAAGGTGAAATTCTAAAAATCGTTTGTCTTTAGTCCTTTTTTAAATTACTTAATACTGAACCTGTTCAGCAAATAAATGAATCACCAAAAAATCAATTATTATCCAACTTTATATTTTGTTAAAGTTTTATATTTGTTATAATAACTATGTATTTCATGACAACAATTAATTATCAGTATAGAATATGCGATATTGGAACGAATTCCAGTTTAATGTTCATGTAATTTGCGATTACACAAATTATATGCATTAAAAAATTTATATTTAAAAACGATTAGGCGCCTTAAACTTATTTTTCCACTAATTTTGATTTTAATAACACCTTTAGTCACACCATAATATCGTCTGCATATGAATTTCAATTTCATTTCATTAAATGTAAACTAATAGGAAAACAGTACAAGACAAGTGGTGGTTGTACTCGAATTTTACAATAATTTGCTTTTCAATTGTTTAACTAACATAATTAATTTATTAAAACAAATTTAATACATGAAACTTTATGACAAAATTTATAAAGTTGAAAAGTAGATTCTGTAAATGTTTTAAACATAACTGTCTTATTTAAGAAATAACCTCATTGATATCTACCTAAACCTTAGATCAAAAACGTTTTTGACAAATAACAATATAATTATCACTGATAAGAACATATTTTTGGCGAGACCCATAATTTACGTACGAACCAATCAGATATAACATTTCAGATCTCGGATTTTGGCATGAAATTCACTCATCCATTTGGCTAAATAGAATCTTAGCATTATAACTGATGTCAATTCGTGATGAAAACCCTAAATCTAATTCTTAACTTTAACCACTAACTGTAAATTATAATTTGAATTCCTCACACTAATTTATAACCTTCATTTGGTCCTAGTTATTAGGTGGACATTCTCAAGATCAGTTTAGCGTTGCTCAAAGATCGTTCATAAATTATAGTCTCACCATATTTTTTTATTTAAAGTATTTAGACAATTAAAATATTTTCACAGATTTAAATCATGAGTCAATTGAAGCTAGACCACCATTGAAATCCTGGAAGCACTGGACGGCCGTTTCGTCCTAGTATGGGTCTCCTCAGCAGTGCGCATCTGTGAAAATTTCTAAAATCTCCACAAACCCCTTCTGATAATAATCATCTGCTCACTAGTGACTGACTTCAAGAGATACTCCTGGAGTTCTAGTGGGAAGCCGTTACCAGTGGAGTTCAACCAGGTCTGTTGTGAGATATCAGCTCACTGAAGACAATGGTATATGGTGGCGCAATTTCGTGGATTGGTTGAAGTTAGACATTAACACCGTTGGATGCCGGCTCGGTGGTCTAATGGTTAAGTGCTCACGCGCTAAGCCAGTAGGTCCTGGGTTCGAGCAACTCGTGGTGCGGGATCGTGGATGCGCACTGCTGAGGAGTCCCATACTAGGACGAAACGGCCGTTCAGTGCTTCCAGGATTTCAATGGTGGTCTAGCTTCAACTGACTCATGATTTCAATCTGTGAAAATTTCTAAAATCTCCACAAACCCCTTCTGATAATTAAAATATTCACATTTTTCATATTGATAACTATAAGTAACTATGAGTAAAATAATCAAACCATGGTGGTCTAGTTTCAAATGACTCATGATCTCAACCATTGAAATTACTATAATATTCACATATAAAAAATACCCTACTGACATTCACAATAGTCTAATATTTTGAAACTTACTAAATAAACAAAAGTATACATAAATAATTGTTGGTAATAATTCTATTGTAATAAATTGTAAATCATTAAGTAGATTTTTTCTATGTATATTTGATTGATTAATTGTATCTGGCTTATTAGAACAATCATCTTCATTAACATCATATAACATAATTAAATTATGACAAATCCATTGAGCAACTTCATTGGCACCATTTTTAATTATTGGTTTAGAATTTTTTGGTATCATTTCAAGTAATAAATTTTCAATACCACCAATTAATAATGGATTATAATCAATGAATTTTTCATCAGATTTATCTGTTAATAATATTGAATCATTTTGAGATTGAATCTTTTTACGATAATGATGCAATGAATTGAACCAAATCTGTATTGGTTGTGGTATACGCATAGGCATTGTCTTCAATTGATATGAAATGTTTTCTTTTAAATTTGTATTTACTGTATTACAGAAGTAATACTAATAATAATATTTACAAAAATCTATATGGGAATAAATTTTTCCATTACCAAAACTTTACATTACATTTTATGTATCGTTCTTCAATATATATATGTTGAGCAACAGTGTAATGTTGTTTATACTTAAAGCAGTCATGCCAGCCAGTTAGAGTATGGGATAACTTTGACAGTTTACATTAGATTTCTCTAGAATCATGATAATCCAAAAGTCAACATATACACACATTTGAAGGTAAGTGAGTACCATCAGCTTGCTCTCTATATGTCTACACGGTTTTATATTGTATAATGATGAATAAACTTACATGACACATACATATTCCTGATATGTGTGTGTGTGAGTTTGTATTTGTGTTTGTCATACGATCATTTTGTTCAATCATTTTTTTCTTATTCCCATACTATGTCTCCCATTCCTTACTTCTTAGTAGTATTAAAAATTTGGAAGAGAACAGGAATATTAAATTTACCAGTGCCTAACTTTCAATTCATGAAAATTATTTTAATGTTAACACACTTATTAGAAATTATATTCTGTATAAATATTCATAAATTAATATTACTTACCAACTTTATAATAAATAATAAATTAAAATCAGACAGAGGTTTTGTGGATATTATAGTAATTTCAATAGTTGAGATAATGAGTCAATTGAAGCTAGGCCACAATGAAAGCACTGAACGGCCGTTTCGTCCTAATATAGGACTCCTCAGCAGTGCACATCCACAACCCCGCCTCACGGGATTCAAACTATGGACCTATCAGTCTCGCTCATGAGCGCTTAACCAACATCCAACGGTATGAATGTCTAACTTCAATTAATCCACCAAATTGAACGACACATCCACCATTATCATCAGTGTATTACTATATCACAACAGACCTGGTTGAATTCCATTAGTCAGTGCTTCTCACTAGAACTCCAAGATATACACCTTGAAGCTAGTCACTAGTGAGCATGTGTTGATTAGTATCAGAAGGGGTTTTGTGAATAAGCACTGCTGAGGAGTCCCACAATAGGATAAAATGCTTCCAGGTTTTCCATGGTGATCTAGCCTCAATTGACTCATGATCTGAACTATTTAAATTACTACAATCTCCACAAAATCGCTCTCTGACACAAGATATGTAATGGAATAATATTGTTTCTATTTAGATCAACATAAATCAATCAAGGTGATTTACAATTCAATTATTTATCAGGATGGATTACACAATTAATCATAATAAACGATAAATGAAAATGTATAACTTAATAGTAAAATGGAAATTTTTGACATTTTATGATAATCCATTAAATAAAACAAGAACAGATCAGTTAAATATCATTTTAGGTTCTCATTAGTCAACCATACATCAACATAGAGAAAATATATAATTCAATAAACAATTGATGCTATAACTATACATTTATAAATGTTAACATGGATGATATAAGTTTTCACATTAAATAGGAAAATAAACCATAATCATTTATTCGAACATTATAACAAGTTTTTCTTGTTGACCTTAAATACTGTGAATAATTTTCTAATCCGGTGTCACATTTTCAAATCGTAAATTATTTATTACTTAATGATAATAAGAAGACTTAAGTAATATGATATTCTAATCAACCAAAAAGACAAAGAAAAATTATTATCAGTATAGAGTTGTGTAGTTTGTTAAATTTCATTGAAATCATGAACTAATCTAAACTAGACTACCATTGAAAACCCGGGAGTGCTAGATAGCCATTTCGTTTTGTTATCTTCATAACCGTATATTGGCAATTATCTGTCCACTAGTGATTAGCTTCGAGAGGAGATCGGAGTTTTTGTGAGAAACTGTAACTAGTTGGACTAAACCGTGTCGGACGTGTGGCAGTTATCCATTAAAGACAACGGAAGGTGGTCGTGCAATAATCTGAATCGATTAAAGTTAGACTTGAACACCGTCAGATGATTTAGAAGTTAAGTGAGGCTAAATATGCTGAGTTCGATTCATAAATTCGGTGTCGTGGATGAACATCCTTGAGGATTCTTAGACTAGAACGATTCTCCTGTCTAGCGCTTCCAGGTTTTCAATAACAGTATAACTTAGATCGGTTTCTGATTTTAATCAAAGAAAAACAAACCTGATGGAAATACCCAACTAATTAGACCTGAGGACTTTGGGGATCCTTTAACTCAGAGAGAACTACCTTGTTGAATCCTAAATGCTGTGAAGTAAATTATGGATGATAATTTACACACACGATTAATCTAGTGAACAGCCATTTGAACCTAAACTTGTTATAGTGATTTGTGTCTACATAAAGTAAAGCAAACTAATTTAATTGACACAAATGACTAACATTACTTCAAAAATGATTTTATTAAGTGGTCGAATTTCCACGACTGTTTATCTCCAAAACCAATAAATAAACATTACTTACAAAACAAAATATTTAAAATAATGATTACTCGTTAATAAATTTTTAGATGGGTTTTGTGGATATTATAGTAACTCCACTCAATTTCGCTCAATTTCATGGATTAGTTGAAGTTGGACATTAACGCCTTTGGATGATGGCTCAGTGGTCCAGTGGTTGAGTGCTCGCGCGCGAAACCAGTAGGTCCTAGGTTCGAATCTCGCAGGGGGCGAGGTCGTGGATGCGCACTGCTGAGGAGTCCCACAATAAGACGAAACGGCCGTCCATGGCTTCCAGGTTTTCCATGGTGGTCTAGCTTCAACTGACTCATGGTCTTAATCAATAAAATATTTCGCAGGATTATGCTTTCCAAAACGCAAGCACAAATAATATTCACATTTAAAAGACAATAAGTTTCATGTGAAATAAACAGTTTGATAGTGTTGCAGTAATTAGGGCGAGTAATTCTCAGTCAAAACATCAATGTTGCTTAACATAACTACATAATGACAGGCCTCTCTCATGACCTTAGTTGTCTGAAATCTAAAATTTTAAGGAAACATCATAAAATGTACATAAACGTAATTCATAAATATGTGATATACATTATCACGCTTGAACTGTTTTTGTTTCTTATATCCCATGATTATGTAACTATAATTGGATGTGTATGCGCACATACATAACTGGATCAATCCCATGTTATCCAAACTGACTTGATAAAGAAAGTGTATAACGAGAAAGGAATAAACGAAGTATATAGCAAAGAAATAAGGAAGTGTAGAGAACGATATTTATCTTATTTACTAAAGGGGCGTAAAAACAAACACAAACAAACATACTACGAAATTCGAAAGGATTATGTTTAAATATGGTAATTCACACCATTATTTATATGTAGATAAATTTCACGAAACAGCTTATCTAGTGAGTAGGATTATTAATCCCAGTTTTTAGGATTAGGTTACTGAACACTGTGTTGGTATTTGTTTTACATTATTCTTACGCGACACATTCCTTACCACAAATCATATATATGTATCGTACTTCTCTAAACTTTCATTTTTCATTAGTTAGATTTAAATTGAACCTTATTGTTTGTAATATCCTTGTGACATGTACAACATAGGTTTGCATTGGCCTATGTGTTTCTACTTCGAAACTTTGAAATAACATCACTTCTCTCAGGATTTGAGATGAGTCATACATCAGAATTTCAGCTATCGAGAACTGAAGAGTTCATTTATGCGTAATATAAATGTGAAAGTCTCCAAAACTAAAGATATTTGACAAATCCTAAAAGGCATTTGTACCATGTTAAATGAGACTAAATCACTGCAAGAAAAATGGTTCCACATGGTAAACATATATATTTAATAGATATTATCCTACAGTTGATGTAAATACATGAAACCCAAGAGTTTAAGAACATGATTTAGGTTAAAACGAAAGCAAAGAGCTGGAATGAAAATAGTGTTTTGTTTCACATATGCTGACATATATATATATATATATATATATATATATATATATATATATATAGAGAGAGAGAGAGAGAGAGAGAGAGTCACAAAGAAATGACCTATACACTTGTGGTGTATGTATAATGTGATAAATGCTTTCCATATATCTACATGTTTTATTCATAACTCCAACGGCCTTATTCAGTCTTTATACACTGATCTATTCACATCCATTAAAGTATCTTATGGAGAGATTAGGGAACTTTTATTCCGTTAAATACATAAAATTCTAATATAACTTACAAACTATTTTATGTCAGTACTGATGGATCAATTATCTTAGCTAATTATGGATGAGTTGTAATTACTCATGAATATAAACTATCAATGTAATTCTTTCGATGGATAAAGATCAGAAGATGGTGTAATACATCAGAAACTATGAGTTATTTTATAAATAAAAATTAAACATCCATACACAAAAGAAGCACAATTAAATTCACTTTCAACGTCAAAGAATTGTCGGATATCTTGTAGATTAATCATGAACCTATAGTATTACGGTTCTATTGTATATGCTAATAATTTCTTATCTAAAACATATTATATGGGAGTCATTTACGGTTTATACTAATATTCACTCCATTTCTATTAAAATGCTTTCAGAACAATAACCATTGTCTCTTCTCATAAACCATTATTCATTGACGTTTTAGATTTACTGTAGTTTATTCTTTATATAAATAAAATACCGAGTTGAAAATTATTATTTACAATATTTATTTCGTTTACACAGCTCTTACCTCATTGGGCTGTTTATCAAAATACAATCATTTGTTTTCGGATAGTCAGTACTGTGTTGGTTTATAAAAAATAATGCTTCCCCTTTAAAAACAACCACAGAAATCAAATGTTCTCACAAAGTAGTATTACTTAGTATACCAGCCTGAGACAAAACACACTAAACAACTATTTCATCCTAATGTTTTAACATTACTGAGCTCACCGTAAGACCTGAATGTGTTAGATTTAATCAACTATGCACATTTAAGTAAGCACACTAGAGAATAGACCTTGACTTGAACAATAACAGCCATCCAGTGCTTACCAGTTTCAATTATCTCACATATGACTCTACTGAATGATAAAACTGTATTCTAATTATCAGAATACCTGTGAAAGACATTGTTGAGTAATGATTTTCGCATAAATCCGTGCAATGATCAGTTTTATAACAAATGTGATGATTTATTTTTGTTTAACTTCAAATAATGAAAAGAGGATCCAACGAAGAAGTAAAGTCAAGGATTGGCAAAGCAAGGACAACACTTCTACAGTTGAAGAACATATGAAACTCATGACAACTGTTAACCAACATCAAAGTAAGAATCTTCAATACTATAGGGAGATGAAACTTGCACAACCATTACAACCATCATCCAAATAGTACAAGTATTTCTAAACAATTGTCTACGTAAGATACTCAATGTCTGTTGACTGGATATCATCAGCAACCGTCTACTATGAAAGAGAACAGACCAGTTTCCAGATGGGAAGGAAATTGAGAAATGATATTGGAAGTGAATAGGACATACATTGAGGACGTCATCAGACTGAACCACGAAACAAGCACTGAGTTGTAATTTCTGAGGGAACTAGAAATGAGG